TGATTTAAAATACCTCCAGACATATTTTTGTCCAAATAAAAGAGGTATTGAGGTTCATGTGACCTTTTACTTAGAAGAGGAGCAGTCCTTTTTATGAAGCGGAGGTGCATGCTACACCTTGCCTCCTACTTGTAAGTTATACATCACTTTTCTTCATGTTTAAATTTGGGTCACTCTAACTAAAATAAAAAAAAATAAAAGCACATCTCCAGTTTATGTTTGATTCACACATCAAGTTTCTCTCATGCGGCTATAACAGGCTAAAGCTTTGTGTTAATTAACCCTCTATGGCATGACTTTTTTATTTTTTGGGGGGAAAAATATTTTTCTGCATTCTTTTGGGAGCTTGTTGGTCCCTAATTACATATCAATCATAAAATCGGACCCTGACACCTCCCGGAACCGAATTTGGGTTTGTTGCCTCAGGGCAACATTGCTCTACAAGGGGTCTAAAACGTCAAGTTTTCTACAGTGATTATGAGAAATGAAATACAAATAAAACAAAAACTATATTCATAAAATCCCTTTTTTGACAAAAATAAATCAGACATGGTTCCAACTCACCAAATATAAAACAAACAACTAACTTTCATTAATGAATGATACATTTGCACAAATTACTAAAACAAGCATTTGTGTGTTTGTACATGTGTATGTTTGGCAGAGTTAGAATCACTAAGGATGTTGAAATCAGTCTTTTTCCCTATTATAAACGTCAGGAAGGAATTGCTTGCTGATGTGAAAAAGTGTGTATCACATTTTTGGCACTTGATTATTGGCGTACCTGGGAATCAACATCTGTTTATCTGATTATCTATGGATTGTAGTGACCAGATTCATATCAGTGACAGGAGTTAGGGCTGCAGGTTATAAGAGTTTGTAGTTCTGATTTTTTTGGTAGAATTTGAGCCAAGCAAAGGATAACATTTCCACCAGCTCCCATATCTGGTAGATTTGGTGGTGGTACGACTCGCCCTGTGTAGATTTTCAAGTTGTAAGGAACACCATCTGCTCCAGCCACATGAAGTACCCTGCAGACCCGTATATTTGGGTTTAGCAGGCATTGCTTCAGTCTTTGCCTGCCTTGGAATGGGGCCATTTGTTCATTGATGACCAGCTCTTCACCCTTTGGGACGGAAGTTAGTTTTGAGGATAAACAAACAATGAAATAATGGATTTCAATGGATTTTACAATGGATCCTCATGTTTTCATTGGGAATGACCCCAGCTTATGCACCTTTTGTCCATGAAATGACCTTGCATCTATCTCCTGTTGCTGTTAGTCAATAATAAAGTAAAAAAAATTGACTGTGATAATTATTTTGTAATCAATTGAATATCATCACATTAGAATAAAATGGTCTGAGCAAAAGGGCCCTAACTGCGCAATGTTGCCCTGAGGCAACAAACAAAAAAACACAGTTTTAGCATATAAATTATAAAAAAAAATTGTCCTGAAATGATCTATAATGCTTCTTTACATACTCACAGATATTAAAATATTTTTAGAGTGACCCAAATTTAAACATGAAGAAAAGTGATGTATAACTTACAAGTAGGAGGCAAGATGTAGCATCCACCTCTGCTTCATAAAAAGGACTGCTGCTCTTCTAAGTAAAAGGTCACATGAACCTCAAGACCTCTTTTATTTGGACAAAATGTGTCTGGAGGTATTTTAAATCATTCCCCCCAAAATAAAATTACAGAGCAATGTGAGGTACAGAAATGTGGTTTGTTGCCTGAGGGCAACGCCATGCCATAGAGGGTTTTAATTTGCAAAACGACGTTATGTATCTGAAAAAAAATATTGTGTGGGCAAAAAATCCTGTAAAGCACATATGTGCAACTTCAGTTAAAATTGGTCTTATAGGTGTCCCTGTGTCATCCTGAAGTGAGAGAAGTACCTGGTAAGGTATTGTTTATGTAATCTGAAAGATTTGTTAAATGTCAAATGTCAGCAATTTTGATTGAGGTAGCACAAATTCTGGTTTACAGAATTTTTTGCCAACATAATATGTTTTAATTTATTTTCAGATACATGATTTCCTTTAGTGTTATGGCAATAGATCCAATATCTGTTTCATTCCCTAGACCTTTCAAAATAAAACTAAATTGCACAATAAAAATGCCTAAACAAATATCAATCGTCCTAACTAAATTTTATAAAATACAAATAAACCATCTTACAAATAACTTAAATATTTCCTATTTATGGTTCTAACATTTAGCAAATCAATTAACACAAAGTTTTATATTTTTAAAGCCGCAGAAGAGAAACATGAATCAAACATAAACCGGAAGGCCGCTTTTATTTTGAAAAGCTTGCCAGGGGTCCAATCAGAAACTGAAATTTTAAGATAACTTCCGTTGCAATCAAACTCTGTCAGGGAGTTTGATAGTACGTGCAAGAGGGTTTGACTGTGAATGTGAGAGGGTTTGATAGTACGTGTAAGAGAGTTTGTAGGTTTTGGCCTATGGGGCCTCTCATACATTAGCTATCCAGCAGCTCATTCAGCCCTAGCGTACCTGCTGGGTTTTCCGGAACTCCTCCACGATCTTAGCTGCCATCTCAAAGTCTTCCAAGAGGTGATAAGCGACAGCATAGCCGATCCATGAGGCCCGCTGGCCAGGACGCAGCTGCAGCAGCTGGTAGCGGGTCTCCTGCAGAGAGACGCAGGGGGTCAGTACATCATGCTCCTGCTGGGTTGATCAACCAGGCCACCCTCACTGCTGGGTTTTCTGTTTGTAGTCTCTCTTGATTGTTTGACCTGAACTGTCTGACTAGAGAGCTCTGTCATTGGCTGACTTGAAATATTTTACAATCAGTTTGAAGTAGATTAGACACTGTCCACCGCTGAGCTTCTCTAATGAACCCATTAGCTCCTTGTACCTGCAGGTATGAGACTCTGAGTAGTGTGTGTGTCTCACCCTGTAGCCCTCCAGGTCTCTCATCTGAATCTGCAGCAGGGACAGGTCTCTGAGGATCTGCAGGTTGTCCTTGTCCCACTTCAAAGCGTTGCGGTAACACTTGATGGCCTCGTCATATTTCTTATCAGAGCGCTGCAGCAGGCCGTAGACGTGCCAGCCTGGAAGGAGTCTGAGTTCAGGAACAGCACCGATCAGGACCGAGCCATGGTGAGCATTAGTCAGTCAGAGGAGAGCAGGCGCCCTGGGGGGCAGCAGGGTGAAGGATACAGACATGGCTCTTCAGGTCGTTGCGCAGGCCTCGTCTCACCAACTCGTAGGCATCCTCCTTCTTGCCCAGGCAGTTGAGGGTTAACCCCTTCATGGCCAGCGTCTCTGCAGCCCAGAGTCAACCAGAGGCAGCGTTCGTATCACGGGGTTAGAGAGAAACGGCCTAAACATTCTTATTGAAGCACGATTCAGTCTGTCAACTACAGTTTAATTAACAAGCAGACTACATCTGACATTACCATGACAACAGCTAGATGAACTGGCCCTCAGCAACACTACACATGGTGAAGTAAGATTTGATTTGGTGGAGTCCAGTCATGCTTTCATAGTCAAGTACAATTCACGTATTCACATGTTTGTGGTATGGCCATAAAGCAACATCATGAAGCAACAGCTGAACTTTAAACTGAACTCTGAATATCTGAACAGACTAAAATGAACTGACTGCTCTGGTGGTCTGTTACCATGATGGCAGCAGTTCACAGGTCTGATGCGGTCAGTGGTCCAAACATCCATGTTAATAAAAAGAAAGGAATTCATAAAATAAGCTTGTCTGCATAGTGAGCTTCTTACGGAATTCCATTAGCTTCTCATCTCCCTTCAGCAATCTGTGTGGGATTTCTCCCATTTCCTTATATTCCTACGGTAGAGTTCCTATGGGTCAATCAGTGAACAGAAGGAGAAGTGAGCGATGTTGTTGATTTTCTGGCAGCAGAGGAAATGAAGGAAGCCGTTCAGTGCGTGTTGGTCAAGCTTCCAAATATCAGATTAACATTAAGAGCTGACAAGTTCAGATCAGGTCTTCTCTCTTCAGTGGAGAATGGTTGTTTACAACACAGGCAATTTCCAGTAAGCTTCAGAGCGTCAAACTGGCACATTACATACATCACAAATTTTTCCCAGTTGCCAAACGTTAGCAACTGGGAAAATTTTAAATCCTCAACACAGTCCACATCTCCAAGAAGTAAACCCTGCGCAACAGTTGAGGGTCCCAATCGTCTGAACAAACCAAAGTGTAGAACAAGGTCTTACCCAGGCTAGAAATAAGCTGATTTTTCCACTTAAGTTTAATATTTATCCTAGTAGGGGTGCAGTTGATTACAGCTGATTTTGTTTTGGGGTTTTTTATAACCGACACTGTCAAGTGTCGGTTATAACACCCGACAGTGTTATAACTCTATACGCACTTTCAATGTGTATAGTGACAAAGGCACTAAGTTAACAGTGGGTCACTATTGTTAGCATGGTCTGATGGGCAGGTCTGTGTGTCAGCCTCTGACAGCAGAGCTGTTGATTTTCAGATCTTTGGAGGCAGATAAGATCGGCCATCAATCTTATCCTACTACTGTAGCTCTAATGTCAGGCATGAACACACAGCAGGTCACCTTCTGGAGAGACGCTGTATGTGTAGCCCTGACTTTAAGATATCCCACACATTATTTTAGCTTTCTCTTCCCTTAAAATGTCCCTCATTCTGTATTACTCCAAACAGCTTCCATCATGAAGTGCAGCTGCATGTGATCAAAGCAGGAAGTGGTTTACACTGGTAGCAAATCACAGCAAGAACATCTGTCCCTTCAGCCTGGGTCTTTCAGAAAGAAGACCCAGGCTGGATCTTCTTTCTGACAGACATTTCTACCAACAGTGCCACTGTACAACCGAGTTTCATAGTTATTAAAAAAACACACACATGCACACAGGGACAGACACAAAGGTGTCTGTGCTCTATTTTGGTTGCCGGAGAGAGAAAAACTTTGAGTAGATAACAGGAAGGCTGACGGAAGAACAACAAAGTTTGTTTTGTCTGTTAGTGTTTGACACCTGTCATGGAACATGACTCTGCAAATGTTAGCAGCTTTCAGACAATCTCAGAGTTAAAGGGAAAAGGAAGGGTCTCTCTTACCTCCATGCTCTGCAAATTTGGGGTTGCTCAGGATCTGTTTGCAGAACTTCAACCCGTTTCTGTACTGTTTGTGTTCGTAACACCTCTGGAAGGAGAGAGAGAAAAGAATCACAGCATGCCGCCATGACAGTTCAGTCGGAGTTTTCCTCCAGCTGTTGCTGACAGGGGAATAGTCCTCATCCTGATGGGACGGAGATGTCAGCACATCTGGAGCAAGGGTCCAGCTCTGCTGTTGAGTTTTAATTCAACTCTAAACTATTGGTTAGGGGAGGTGCATCAACTGACTTCACTTCTCTGTGAAAACAGTGCTAAACAGAATCACAACACCCCGCTGCTCTTCAGTGTCACTCATGAGTCAATAATCCAACTTAGGCGGACAAACTGCCGTAGCTTTCCTCTTTAACTTGGGCATGGCTGTCATGTGTCAATCTGTTTATTCATTGATACACTTCGGCTCTATTGACAGGTCAAAAGACATCTGCAGCATCCCAGAATAACCATCCAGCGGTGCTGTTTCTCTCCTGCTCTATCACTGCTGATGGTTAACACAGACTTCAAAATTACTGGGCTCCTGATGAATTAGCTACCTGCTCTATATGTGCTACAACGGGCCACTGCTTAGCACTGCAATAAGCTAACGCCAAGTGCCTACCAAAATCCTTTTGAAGAGAGCATTCTCCTTCTGCGGCAGAGTCACTGAGGGCATGGCGGTGGTTTCCTACTCCACTGTTGGTTTGTACATGAACGATACTCCTTTAGAAACAGAGATACTGGACTTTTTCGGGACCTTCAGGTTCCTCTTTCTCACGTGTTTAAGCCGAGGCCCCCCTTCCGAGCAAAATGGCTGCTACGCTTCTCCTCCGGGTCATGTTGAATTCCCGAGTTCATTCCTTACAAGCCAGCCGGTGTGAAACCCGAGTGTAAGAGATGATGAGCGGCGAAACTAGGAGTTTCTAGATTATATATTCGGCAAAAAATAATAGTAATAATAAAATAAATTTTATATATATAAAATTTATTTTATTATTACTTTATCTATCTATCTATCTATCTATCTATCTATCTATCTATCTAACTATATTCCAGACTGCAGATTTATCTGCAGAATTATCGGAATTATTTATTACATTTAAAACAGCCGTTTCTTTTCGGCATCGACACAATCCCATTTTGTTCACATCAACAGTATGGTTATGCGGTGGTCGTTGTAAGCACAGTGTGCTTCGTATACGTCTGTGTTGATAGTGTGATGGAAATTCAGTGCAAACTCCACCTGCCCGGCGCGCCTCTCGTCACGCAGACTGTTAAATAGTGCGTACCCACTGGTAGCATTCAATAGTAGCAACGGTCCGTGGACTCACAGGAATGATTTCAAAAGTCCGAGCCTGAACAAATTTTGCTGAGCATAAATATATGGGGGAATTTTTCTGCCATAATCCAAGAGCACACATGTTCATTGCTCCGAGCAGAGACTAAGTGTGAGCGCGAGGAGAAGTTTTGAGTACAATCATTACAAGTTTTGAGAAGAAAGACATGGAGTCCTGCTTTCAAAATAAAAATGTAAGCAAAGGTATTACAAGTTTTGAGAACAAAAGACGTGAAATCCTGCTTTCAGACTGAACATGTGTGCTCTTGGATTATGGCAGAAAAATTCCTCCATACTTCTTCAGGTGGCACTGTTTTGCCTGTATGCTGTACTTGCAAACAGGAATGGGCTTTGATTGAGTTTGCAAATATAGTTTATTCAAATAAGAGTAGCATTACTTCAACATATTTTTTCTTAAGTAAAAGTAAAAGTAGCCATCCAAGAAATTACTTAGGTAAGAGTAAAGAGTATACTGCATACTGAATATACTGAGTATTGATCAAATGATCAATCATTTAATATTTAAAAATTACATAATCAGACAAACCAAAATATAAAATTAAGTGGAATTTTTGGGAATTTTAAGGATGAAAATTACAACAATTCATGTCGGTAACAAAAAATAAATAAAATCAGGCTTTTTTTTCAAATCAGTTTCTTTCAATTAAAAACTGATGAAATTCTTACAAAACCTGCATTTGTGTGTGTGTGTGTGTGTGTGTGTGTGTGTGTGTGTGTGTGTGTGTGTGTGTGTGTGTGTGTGTGTCTGGTGAATTTTGTTTAAAACATGGCTGTCCTTCATTCAGTTAAGTTACTCACAGTGGATAGAGAATCCAGAAATGATACTCAAGTAAGAGTAGTGATACTTAGAAAATTATTCAAGTATATGTAAAAAGTTCAGCGTAGTACAATACTCCTGAAAGTACTTTTTTTTTCAGAAGTTACAAGTTGAGTTAATGTAACTTAATTGCGACCCAACTGTCAAACATCAGATGTTTCGATGCAGAGTGATTTGTTTTAAATATGTAGCAGAGAGAAAGGCGTGAATTAAATAACGGTTTACTTGAGTTTACATCACTTCTGATTACAGCCATCACAAGAAATGATTAACTGTTTTGATGCTTCACAATTTGATGCTTCTAAAGTCAAAATAGTTGTACTACACCAGCACAATTACCTTCTTTCTTTTATTTAACCCTTTATGGTACACATAATGATGCTAGTTGGAAAAAAAAAGTTTGGCATGTTTTTTTGTTGTTGTTTTTTACATAAAATAAACCAAGTAAACATAATAAAGACAATTTTTTTATTATTATTATTTTTTCATTTATTTTTTGTTGATGTACCATAGTGGAAATTAATGAAAACAAGAGAGTTTGGCTTATTATTGTAAAAGCATTTATTTAACAACTCAGGTTATAGTCTAAATAGCCTCCAGTAGCAATAATAGTTAACAATGAAACTCCTTTGAAAGCTAAAAACAATTTTAAAATGTTTTTCAACATTTTATTGGCATATTTCATTGATGTAATGGTTTTCATTTGAGTTGAGTGTCTTGATCCTCCCGTCTTTGCCTTACTGCTTGTGGAAGCTGATGAAGCAGTTACTCTCAGCTTCCAGTGAAGAAGTGGACCTAGAAAACAAAAACATCCTTAGTATGTTATGAACCTGCCAGCTTTACACAAGTAATAATTGCACATTCACCCTCATTGTTCCCCCTGACCTCACTGGTCCTCCTGTCCTGTCTGTTCTTATTCTCTGGCTCATAGTCTTCACCATCCTCACTGTCTAATTGCAAAGTTTCAAGCTCCTCATTTTCTTCATCACTAAACCTAATTCATCCTCACTACCATAAAAAGGAACTGCTAGTTTGGTTTTCTTCCTAAGAAATTATAAAACATTGTTGCATTAATGACGTAAATGGAAGAAAAGAGTATCCAATATAGTCATTCGCAATATGGAAAGGCCTCACAAAATGGAAAATTATAGCAGACTCTAGAAGATCAACATGCTGGGCTACCAATACAATGGTAATCTTAATGTTACAGTGTTGCCATATGGCAACATCAACATTTTAACAGTTTATCATTATTAAATGATCAAATACAGCACAATGAATGACAGAATAGTCAACTTACTTCATTTATTGTTGAGTATGTAATTTTTTTCCTGGTCAAAAAATGTCATAAAAATAATTTTTTTCATGATTTCTGAGGAGTCCAATGGTGAGGCTCTTCCCTGTGAAGAGGTCAGTTGAGAAAGGTGTCAAACTTCCCCCCAGAAAATTATGTGACAAATTTAAACACTGCTGTTGCTTCTCTTAGGGTCTCATCTCTCTTTCAGTGCATTACATTGTAAAATTGGAGGTACTGTCTGTGTGTGGTCTTCAAGTAATTCGTTACCAAATGGCAACATTATACCATAAAGGGTTAAAAAAAACTCTGTAGCATGTAGCTCCGAACAAGGATGAAGCTTTACTGATGGTTTTATGACATTTAATTTCTTCAAAAGCAAATTCCATTCATCGTAGCATTATAATCCACTTTACAATGTTTCAATTTACATTACTTTACGACTATGACAAATAATTATGTTAACAGATAAAATATATTAAAAGTAAATACTTTTTACAATCAATACACCTTGATTGTAAAAAGGTGTATTGACTTTTTACAATCGTATTGACAGCCTCTCAATCTTCGGAGAGGCTGTCAGTATAAAACAATGTTTCTTGCTCTGTGAAAAACAACTAACTGCTGTAATAACTGTTGTATTAACTACTGTAACTGCTGTAACTCACTAACATCTAATTTTGGAGAAAACAAACTATCTGTTATACAACAGCACTAGACAGAAAATGCTAAATCCAAAATTAAACGTACAGCTCAAAGCAGAAATCAAAATTACTGGCAAAATAAAACACTTTAAAATTTTCTGTAATAAAAGCACTTCGTTATTTACAAAGTCGTTTTTTGTTTCTTGATTCCAAAGATTTTGCATTACTAATATTAAATATGTAAAGAAAGACAAATTAACCTTTCCCCTTTTTTGTCTTCAACAAATAAATATTTGCGGCAATGTCATATTTTGTGTTTTGAAACCATCAGAAGCTCCAATTGCCAAATTATATTATAAATTATGCACAGTCCTAGGAGACTAAAAAATAGTCGCCACTTTGTATTGTTTCTTATATGTTCAAGTGTTTTTTTTTTCTTTGTTTTCTCAAAGAAATAACCAGAAAGAAAGTTACTTAAAAAAAACAAAAGCAAAAGCATTATGTTGGAAATAAAATATTTGATACTGCAATAGATATTTTATTTTCCTGCTTTTGTTTGTTTGTTTGTTTGAATGTCAGCAATACCAAACAAGATATTTCAAATGTTCATTAAACCCTTACCTAGTTTGTTCGAGTTTTCGGCGCTCTATGAATCAGGCCTTCCAGGCTTTGAAATCCATCGCAGTCTACAGTCACTCTCAGGCAGGCGGCATTAAATCCAGCACCGAGGCAGCTGTCAGTGCTAAAATGACGTTCAGCCGCTTGTTATCTCGAGCTGTTCTCATTAACAGGGGTGAGTTAGTTGCAGCGTGGTGTTTAAGAATGACTGAAGTTTAATGTGGTTCTTCTTAATTAAAACACCGAGGTTGTTTTCTAGCCTGACCTTAGCTTAGCTTAGCATTAGCGCGTCATTTTCTCACGGGTGACTTCTTTTCTCATTGCAAAGATTAGAATTTAGTGGTAACCGTGATGCATTTATTGCAGCTAGTTTAACCACTAGATAATGGAAATCCCGGTCCCATTGTTTCAATCCTATCACAGCTGCTCTTTCATTTCATTTGCTGTCATGTCTGCTGGCTTAGAGACAGATTAACTACCTAACAGAATCTACTGATCAGGATGTATTGTGTTATTAATGAACTGGGTTATATGTAACTGGACTTTAGTTAAATTCTGATTGTATTTTCTGAACTGATTTATAAATGGAAAGTACATCCACATTTGATTGAACCCATATAAACTTACACAATTTAAGTTTAAATTTTATTAAAATAAATTAACTGGCATCAACAGAACATTTTATTACACTATGCACTGATCTCCTTTACATTGTTCAGAACTGCCAGGCTGTTCCGCTTGATTTGGTTCTAATCTGATTTATCATTTGTCTAGTCTAGTTTCACTAACATTTTAAATGCTGTATTTTTAATGGTGGTCAAAACAAAGGTCAGACCCACTCCCCATTCAGGTTGCTTCTTTGTTTACACTTATTTTAAAGATGGCTTGCTTTCCTAATCCGCAAAACCTTTTTCCTGTGCTATCTTCCTGTTTCATGGTAGTGTTAATTGTTCATTAAAAGCTGTGTGTGTGTGTGGGTGGGTGTGTGAATTCTTTCAGCCGGATCCAGATCAGCCTTCACTAGCTCCAAGACGGACACAACCAACCCCAACTGGCTGCAAGTGGGTCTTGCGTTTGGAACATCGGCTTTTATCTGGGGCCTGGTGAGCACCAATGTTTGTGCACTAAGAGACATAAGCTGGCATGGAAGCTACATGATGGTGACCGTAGATGAGAATGAGATGGGTCATAAAGTGATGTACACGTAGTAAAATGTAGAGGTGCACCGATAAATCAGCTCTGATTTCTTTAAATTTAGAAATCAGAGCTGCGTCTTTAATGTTAGGAGACATGATTGGCTGATACTTAAATGTGAAAGTGATGTGATCTACCTCTATCAGCCAGACCTTTGCTACAGAAATTCTTTGGAACCTTGGTCAGATCTGTGCCTTGCCACAGTTCTGTCTCTGAGCTCATTGGCCAGTTCCTTCCACCTCATGATTCTCATTTGCTCTGACCAGCACTGTGAGCTCTAATATAGATGGATGTGTCCCTTTCCTAATCAAGTCCAATCAGTTTAATTAAACACAGCTGGACTCCAATGAAGGAGTAGAGCCATCTAAAGGAGAATGAGAGGAAATGGACAACATGAGTTAAATATGAGTGTCACAGTAAAGTGTTTGAATACTTATGACCATATGATATTTCAGTTTTTCTTTTTTAATAAAATTTGCAAAAATGTCTACATTTCTGTTATTTTCTGTCAAGATTGGATGCTGAGTGTACATTCATGATAAATAATGTGAATAATGTTTTTTGATTTTAGCAAATGGCTTCAACCAAACCAAGAGTGAAAGATTTAAAGGGTTCTGAATACTTTCCGTACTCGCTGTAAGTGGGAGCCTTGACAGACCCACCCACCATGTCATGTCTTCATCTATGTGATGAGCAGCAGTCGCCCCACTGTTGCTAACTTGATAACATTGTAGCTATATTTAGAGACTGTTCAAGTAAAAAAAAAAAATCTTTATCTGCGAAATTTATAATCGTCTAGTCAGGCTGCCTAAAGATTGGTGATTGGTCAGAAGACTGCAATCGGTGCAGACCCAATGGACTTCATCACAAGTCTTACAACTTCCTGGATGCTAATGTGTTTTTAAAAATAGTTACTTTCAACATACTGGTCCTGCAAAAAAAAAAAGGAAACCTATATATGTAGGAAAGAATCTCTGAAGATGAAGGATTCTGCTAAATTTTTGTTTCTCAGTGAATGACTTTCTTTCACCCACAGCTCTTCAAACAGCACAGCACAGATGTTCACGAGTACGAAGTGAAAAAAGGCCTTCAGTGATCTCTAAGGAAGGCAGGTGAGCATGGTGTGAATGCTGCTGTTTATGTCTATATCAGTGTGAGGCCCTCTGGATGCAGTGAAAGGAATCCTGATGTGTTGTTTCTCGTCTCTTACAGGAACTGTTTGGATCCTCTCTGTTGGACACATCTGCTTCTATTCCATGTAACCCCCCCAACCTGAACTCTGTAGAATACAATGAAATAAGATAAATAAATGTTATGTGTGAACTGTGGAGTCCTGATTACTTTGCGTATGTAATTAAGAAGGATTTAACAGACACTAGGACGTTCTGTATTCGCTGTTATATTTCTATTCATCAACTTTACACTCTTATTTCTGTCATGTTCGTGATGATGCATGCTGGGAGCTTTTATCTGAACAAAGACTTTATCTGACATCATTAATTCATTTCACAGTTACTCAAAATGACAGTGGAGAGCAAAGGTGGATTATTATTATTTAATTAACAAGAATAATTATTTATATTCTTGTTAATTAAATACCAATAATATTTTGACTCAGTGGGGATGAATTCAAATGCACTTCACACTTTTCAGATTTTGAAAACCACGTGTCACTTGTATTTACTGTTATGTGATTCTGTGAGTTGGTTGTCACACAAAATTGACCTACACTGTGGTTTGTGGTTCTTGTGGTACAAAACATGAACATGCTGCAAATGTTTGATTTTCATTGTTGACAGTGATTAACATTTCATGTGTGACACTGTCATCCAAAATGAAAACAAAATTCAAGTGTTCTCCTTGACTTCATCTACTTCAACATGAGCTTAAAAGTATGACAAATAATTATTCTTGATTTTACTGGCGGTTGGCAACAAACTGTTAGCATTACCGCCACTTACTGGTATGGAGTGTGGTTTGTGATTCATTCTCTCTCTCTTCCTCCCCACCCCCGAGAACCGGCGGAAACACATATGAAGCTTATTTTTTGTTCCTACTTTGAGTTACCCTTTCTTGCCCTACAGTGCTCTTTAGAGGACATCCTGGGCTTTCCAGGGATGTGTCATGCAGGTTTGCATACCGGGAAGTCCCTTCTTTACCTAAATCAAAATGGCAGAAACCATATTTTATGGAAAGAGGGTAGACGTGTCAAATATTTTTTTCTTTTGTTATTTTTGTCATGATAATTATTTATATTCTTGTTAATTAAATACCAGTAATATTTTGACCAGTGAAAACAATTTAATAATCTCTGTTTAGAAATGACAGACTTTTTATGAATGTCAATTGTAGTGGACATCAGGACGATTTTAGTGTATTTAATGACTCCACATTGTTGTAGAAAAAAGATGTGAAACAGGATTCTCCACAAGATTGTAGAGGGAGATTCAGATCTGGAGTTGTCAGATTAAGATGAGGAAATATCAGCCTCTAGTAGGGAACTTCATCAGATCCAGGATAATCTGATGAAGAGACAGACCCATGGTGCGTTCACACCAAACGCATTACGCATGTCAAAAACGCACTTGACACTTCAAATATGACACGTGTACACTTTTGGTGCACTCCTGTCAAAAGCGTTTTGAGTATCAGGTGCGTCTGGTTTACATTCAATCTATGTGGAACGTCATAAAAACAGTCCAAACGATTCAAATCGTGCCATGCTAGACGCTCAGAACGCTCCTCAACTCGCCTCCACATAGATTTTAAATGTAAACAAGATGGGCCTGACGTTCAAAACACGTTTGGTGTGAACGCACCATCAAAGCCAGAGAGAGAGCAGGAAAGTCACTGCTAGGTGGGCCAAAATTAATTTGTATGTTTGTTGGATCTCTATGACCAACATTTGGTCCTAAAGATCATGGACACAAGTTTTTTTCTTTGTTTGACCATCAACTGCAAATATCGTTTAGGTCTTTCCCATAAATGATGGAGGCCATCACCACAGATTTATCGTCAAACCACTTTGTGACAGTCAGCTAAGATGCTCCCTTCTGTTCACAGTTGCCCATCTTCTGGTAATTGGTGTGGCTTTGGTATTCTTTGGTTCATCATAATGGTTCCAGTTGCTGGAAGACCCTTTGAGAAGTTTTCAGAACTTATTCCTCATCATTTTCCTGCTAATAACTGGTACTTTTGATTTTTTAGTCCAGAAGATTTTGACTCTGGGAAAGCCAAGATAGGCCATGTGTGCTGATATTTTGAAGAAAGTCCTTGTTCATGTGTGTAATTTTATACTTCTATCATGTTCAAAATAAATAAAAAATAAACAATTAAGTAAAAATAAATAAAGTCTTCATTTCTTGGGCAATAGTGTTTAGCGACACCCCTGCAGTTTGCAGCTATTTTTGGTTTTTATTTCAAGTAACAAGCAATAGACTGCAACCAGAAATGGATAATTTCTGGTTATTAAATGTATTTTTCAAATTTGACCTTTTGTTGGGTTAATGTGATTCATTAATCAATAATCTGTACATTTTTCCATTTTTTTGAATTCTGTCATAATCTGAAATCATCCTGATGTCCACCACAATAGACATGCTGTGAAATTTAAATAAAAAATATATATAAAAAAAAAAAAATAAAATGCTAAGGTGTTCATTTTTACCTAAATGGGTAAGAAATGACATAAATACAGAAATTGGAAGACACTTTTTTTTCTTTGGCTATATATATATATATATATATATAAATTCCCTTCTCACCCT